GAAATCACTACAGAATGGGTTCGGGGACCCACTGGACCCACTGTGAGATGCACTTTAGCTAAGACTCCATCAGTAACTTGATCTCCATATGCCCCAACTCTGACTGGTGGGCCACAATGACGCTTTGGGTCTCCTGGAATTAGCATCAGTTCAGAGCCAGTGTCCAGTAATCCCCCAAAAGTCTGATTATTTCCTTTTCCCCAATGGACAGTCACTCTCATAAAAGGCCTCAGATCACTTTGGGGAAGGCTGGGAGAAAGACTGACATTATAAATTTTTGGCAATGTAGTGGGGCCCTTCCTCAAAGGAACCCAGCCTCCCCTTCATTCAAGGGGTTGTGGGTCTGGAAACTGACTCAAGTCTGGGAATTGATTGAGAGGCCACGACTCTGTATTCCGGCGATTCAATCTAGGCTGCTGTTCACGTGACCTAGAATTCTTCTGTCTATACAGATCAAGTAAATATTTGGTAGTTTTGTCATGTATTTCACTCCTAGGAACACCATGACTTAAGTTGCCAATGCCATAATTCCACACGAGTCAGGGTATTCTGGTCACTGTTTCAACTCTGCTGTCCATTATGGCAACCACACCCACCTTGCCTTTGTCAATTAACTGCTGCCACTTGGCCCCTACTACCACAGGGTCCAATCAGCCCCATTGTAGTTAAGTGTCTTAGTTCAATTAGGGCAGTTTCCCACTGTCAAATCTGGTTTACATGAAATAGCAATCACAGCAGTCTTCAAGGATGCTGGAGCTCCCTTCACATATTTATTCCTTACTGTACTGGTGAAAGGCGTGTCTTCTGGACTCTCCATTTCTGACTCTAGAGGTCTAATCTGTTAAATCCATTCTAACAGGCCAATTTCCCTAAGCCTCTGGATACCTTCTTCTATATTATACCAAGGCAGGTCTGGTACTTCAACTTGACTTAAAGTAGGCTACTGCACAATCCATGCTTCAGTAAGCCAACCAAATAAACTATTAGATCCTTTCCTAACCTCTTGAGTTGAAACACT